TATTATTGGTGCTCTGAGCTTTCTTTGCAGTCTAGACCCTTTCCCTGGCATTTATTTACATAGTCATATTTATTTCCTCATATTAGTTCTCCACATTGTGGACACTCTGCTCCGTTTAGCCATGGGTGCACCGCTGCTCTGCACAGCCAACAGCAACATGCCTGGTTCTCCGCTCATCCACTTAAATATCAAATATCAAATATGGAGTTAACTATAGTTCGTTGTATGTTAATCCTATCAATTGCTTCATCTAGCTATTTCTGGCTAACGTTAGGGCCTTGATATCAAAATATGTTTAAACAAACAACCTGTTGCTAGGCAACCAAGGATGCCATGAGCATTTTTCATTGCTTTCTATGGGTGTCAAAATGACTCTTTTTAGCAATTCTTTGTTTCTTGCACACCCTGAAATTCACTATATGATGAATGAACCCATTTTAGAGTGAAATCTGACATGCTGGTATTTTTATTTCTAACAGAATTACATGGGTTTGAAAATTACAAGGGTTCTATGATATGGGAGCATTTTGATGCACTTGTGTGGTTGAGGTTTGCGTGTTTTAGTGTGGTTGACGACTACAAAAACACCCACTCGCAATGCGTTGCTTTTTGAGCACATGACGCACTGTGTGATGTGTTTCCTGCAGAGAAATCCTACAGCTGTAAACTGTGTAATAGACCACAAAGAACAAACTGGACTTATTACAGATTAGCTTCACCAGCTTTAGCTTCAGTGTATGTGAGGAGTGGGCCCAGTTCCAGCCTTGTTAATCCATCCTACAGCTCAGGTAACAAAACAGGCTCTCATATTAATTATGAAAAACTTGCTTCACACAATTCCGTCAGCACGCTAAATAGTTAACCAGCCCAGTTTGTTTGCTTTCAGCGGCAGAGCGAAATTCACACTGCATACCAGTCTGTCTTTTGTCACTGAGCTCGCCTCCTGGAAGGTTCATGGTCACAACTCTGTCCATGTTCACAGCAATCAGGAAGTCATTTCCTGTCAATGCCAATTAACTCAATGAGCATCGAAGAACATGCCAGTGACGACGCACGGGAGAGAACTGCGTTTCCTGAACCAGGAAATAAAAATATCTAGTACCTACTTATTAATTGATGGCCTTTCTCAGAGAGCGCAAATATGATTCATTTCTGTACCTTTTAGTTTGTTCAGTGAAAAAATGAACGTCAGATCTGGCATTAACTGACACCTAATTTTTACTGTGCATACCTGATTTGCATATTTTTGTACTTGCATCACAGCAGATTTTATACCTTTTTTTTTT